TCTTTGTTTTCAGTAAAAAGTTTTATAAAATATATTAACTGAATTCCATACAATTCAACGTAAAATGTTTATCGCACTTTATTTATTAGCTTTTGTAAAATGTAAAAAACAATAATACTTCGTTATACTTGTTACTGAACAAGAACAATCTCAGAAATAATGTTTCGAATAATTTTACTGGAGTCTAGTAGTGTAGTTTTTAAATGGATTCAAGAGTGTTCCGAACCTCCCTCTGTATAACATTTCCCGGGGATTTCTACCTCCACGCGTTCATTTCTGAACGTAACCACAGATTAATACGTTGAACACATCTTAAAAGATCTTTTATAAATAGAGCATTTACGAAAATCAACGAAGCAAGACGAAGTTAACCGCTCTATATCTGTAATCTATGAATAAATTTTAAAAATTTTGATTTTATAAGAAAAATTGAAAAAAATAGGAAAAAAAAAATTAATGGTTTTATTATTTGCTTTAGTTTATATCGAGGTAAGTCATTAGAAATTTATTTGCTGATACTTTTTAATCATGCCATTATAAGTTACATAAGACTTAAATGGTATTACACCAATCTATCAATAACCTAAAATTTTTAAAAACCTGTAAGATTTTTTCTATTTTTTCCCAAATAGGTAGATAATGGGAAATACAGTGTCAGCTGCTGAATATGCAGCAAAACAAATATTACATTCACCCCAGAATAAAGAAGAAAATGATACTGCCAAAAGAAAACATGATCATAGCATGCACACTACAAATCAAGAGATACCTCCTGGTTGTCCGTACCATCAAGATAAACAACATTCTGACAAAAGTAACTCTGAAGAAATTAATCCTTATAATATGGTTTGTTAATGTCTTAAAAATGATTATGCAGTATTAAATTATATAAAGACTATGCAACAAAGATATGTTCTCTAGATGCCTCGAGAGAATCAGAACCGCGCTCCAGGCCAACCATTTCCATTATCAACCGAAAGACAGATCTCAAATATTCCAAAGGCTGTTGTGAAAGATGGAGAAATGCCATTTTGGGTTTATCCAAGTCAGCAAGTAATGCTAATGATTAGTTTTGATTGATTTATATGTTTTTGTATATTTCTACATATTTAACTAGATGTTTTGGAATGCTATGTTAAGAAAAGGTTGGAACTGGAAAGAAGACAATTTGAAACCAGAAGATATGGATAATATAATTAAAATTCATAATGCAAATAATGAACAAGCTTGGCTTGAAGTACTTAAATGGGAAGCTTTACATGCAAATCAATGCATGACACCAAAGTTGGTAGTTTAGAATTTAATAATTTTTTTTTCAGTGATTTCCTGATTAAATGCATAAATTGAATTTGTAAAGATACAACTTCTTAATTTCTTCACTTTTTTCAATTGTTTCATTATTGTTTTTATGTACCTTTATCCTTTCTCCAGCAATTTCTTGCTCATTTTTAAGGTAGTTCCTACTTTCTAAATGTTAGGCCATTTGGTAACTACATAAGAAAATATTACATATTATATTAAAAATAAGAAAAATTCAGGTAACATTGTCAGGAATGGTTACTGATAAATTAAATTACAAAAGTTTTTTATTTGCAATAATATGTAATATAATTGAAAAGTTCATCATGTGACAGTAGGTGCATCTTGAAAATTGAAATTCCGCTTTTTCCAATTCCTCACTTCTGATATTATCTATCTGGAGAATATTCCTCACCTCCCTCAATTTAATTAAAATCATTGAACCTGTCTTAACAGAATAAAAAAGTTTGCACTTCTGATATTATAATGTTTATTTTATTGTGATGCTCTAGATTGAAAAGTTTTGGTGGTAAAGCAAAGGACTACAGTCCAAGGGCTAGAATTCGCTGGTGGCTAGGATATGAATTGCCTTTTGATAGGCATGACTGGATTGTAGATCGATGTGGTAAAGAAGTAAGATATGTAATTGATTATTATGACGGTGGAAAACTTGATGATAAATTCCAATTTGCTTTATTGGATGTACGACCTGCAATGGACAGGTAATTAAAAATTCATCATCACAAGGTCGTCAGTCCTAAGACTGGTTGGACACGCACTGCCACCCTTTCCTATCCTGAGATAATCTCTACATTTCCCTAAAACTAGAGCATCCCACATCCTTGAGTATTTGCGAACATTAATCTAATCTAGGTCTACCTCTACTCGTCTTAACTCCTGTTTCTGTCTCTAAAATGTCTCTGAATTCGTGCTTCATTTAAAATAAAACAAAGACAATAAAATGTGTCATTTTACACTTATATTTGTCGCTAAAGTTTAATATTTAAACATAATGTAATTGTTTTAGTTTTGAAAATATTTTGGACAGAATTAAAGTAGCATGGTGGAGATGGAAATATAGTAATGAAGAAAGTTAAAAAAAAAAATTATGGCTGTAAAAGAACATTAATCTTGTACAAAAGCAATTGTGTTCTTTTTAATTTACATCATTAAGTAGTGGTATTTTATAATTCATTATTCTTTATTAGCCATTTTCATATAAATTTTTGTTTTATGTTAAATAAAATANTATTTTCATTCAATCTAAAATGGCGTCAAGTGCCCTCTCCGCGATAGAGCCGTCACTCAAAAATGTGAAGTAATATAAAAAGTCAGTTGTGTAGCATTAAAAAATATTGAAATGTCATCTTTTGTTTTACATTTTACAATAGATATAGTTTTTGTTCTAACGACATTAATTAAAGTTTATTTAAAAAACTGAATTAGTTGATGTCTGTTAAAAAGAAGTAATTTCCAAAAAGGTGGGAAAAATATTTGAAAATGTTAATTTAAAAAAGTGACTGGTTTGAAACTTGGGTAATAGCGAAGTTCTAAACATGTTCAATCTGCATTATCGATCGAGACGCACACCCAAAACACGCGAGTTTGACAGCCGACTTTTTGTGGACCAATGTGAATTTTACGGTGATTTAGAGCAAGTATTCCATGAAACTTTATCTTTTAAGTATTTTTGTAGACATTTACAAAGACTCTTACATTTACTAGCGCATTTAAAACGAATAGTTCGTGATACATCAATAATTATTGTTTTGTCGCCATCTTTTTCAAACCACTTGTTAACACGGCGTGTTTAATGTTAATTTGAATTTATTGGTGATTGTTTATTTATTTGAATTAAGTGGGGCAGCGGTTGACAAGCCGGCAAAGTGTAACGTGAAGAAATAACGTGGAAATGATTGGGTAAGTTTAAAATTTTGTGATTATAACCTCCAGACATCGTTCGTTTTATATTTTAGCCTTTGTTTAATTGCAGAAGGTATTTTATTTTAAGAAATGTCATGTCAAGATATGGAGTATGTTAAAGAAATGCTTCAAACAAGAATCTTAAATCTATTTTTCCAAATTTATTAATCAAAATATTCGTGTAGGCAGTAGTTTTTCAAACAATTCAACTGTTTAGGCTACAGCCTTCTAGAAAAGTGTAGTATCCATGTAGAAACTTGCTAATGTTATTTATGAACGGAAACTTACAGGTAAACACATCTCTGCAGGGCATTTAACAAGAAAAAATTATGTTTAAAAAACGTGATTCAGTTACTCTAATATAGGTTATATTCATTGCTATGTTATTTGTTTTTTGTCGTTAAATTGCTTATTTCTGCGACGTTTTATGATTGATGAAGAAAATTACTATGCCAAACAAATATTTTTGCAGCTTTTGTAATGAAATGATACCCATTTACTATTGGCGTTTATTGAAATAATTCCTATAAAATGGGTCCTCATAAGGTGTTCTTTGTTTTCCGTTCCATACCGTTTACCTTGATAATATCTTATATAATAATATATGTACGTATTTGTATGAGTCTCACGATTTCTTTAGTCAATGGCGTATCGTTTTGGTTTGGTAAGGTTATTTTGAAATAATAATGTAAGTACAACAAATTGTACTGTAAATGAGTATTAAATGATCAATACTCAAAAGAATTGATGCTTCCTTTGACCTTAAATAATTAACAATTTTAAATGCTATATTACATGACTGCAACTAGAGTCTAAGAAATGTTTAACTTCCGTAGGGTATCTACATATATTATTATGTACCTACATTAGAATACATAAAAATGTTTTCGCTGACCCACGTTGTTGACCTGAGGTCAGTTCTAGTCTTTGTGTCCGTTATATCCTGTCGCTTTGTAAGTCATTTTGCTGTTGAGTGAACATCAATGTACAAGCAAGGTTTCCCTGATATAAGTGGGTGGGCAGGTGTAGTGAAGTTGCTAAATGTAAAGAGTATTTTTATTTCTTATCACTTTACTGTATATGTACTTAATATTATATATAAAGGAAATTCTGAGAGCTGTCAGCATAGCGCAAAAAAGTGTTACGTAGTTAGTATCAGCAATTTCTTATGTTGAAGTGTACTATGTGTTGCATACCTATTTGCAAACAATTCCTTTAAATTTTAATCATTGATTACTATACATCTATTAAAAAAACATAATGGCCGACATCAGTGACAATGCGACAACAATTGAAAAAGAATGATGGCCGACAACTGCAACAATTAGAAAAGAATGATGGCCGACAACTGCAACAATTAGAAAAGTATGATGGCCGACAACTGCAACAATTAGAAAAATATGATGGCCGCCACTACGTCATAGTGGAGCAATAAAAATGGCCGGGGCCAGGGGGAAGAACTAGTACAGTTAATGTTAGTCTCGGTCACATTCTGTAATTTATTCCATGTCTTGTCTCATTATATTTTATTGGTAAATGTAAATGAGCAAGCGAGTACCGGAAATTACTCTGTCACAAATCTATATCAAAACGTAAGTGATGTTATTGAACTGTGATAGAAATATACCTTTAAGGCAGTAGAAATGATAAGCCAAAATAAATGAAATAAAATGAGAGTGAAAAGAAGAAGAAAATGTCATTTATTCGTAAGTAAGCTATATCTTAAAATATTTGTTTTTCAAAAACACAGCAAATACAAGATTGCATTTACATTAACAAGATTAAAACCTTATATCTAAGTCGGCAAGATTAAGAAGCACTTATGTGACGAAGAAAGAGTGAAATTTGCGATCTTTTTGCGAAACATTAAAAAAGTTTCGATATGTATTTAATTGGTATACTAAGTTAATTTTTGTACATATATTTTTCACACTTTTTACCTCAATGTTTATTGAAAACACAGTAGGTATATGGACGATTCGATAACAGCCTACAGGTATATTTTAGCATAAAATTAAGGGTATTGTTACATCCATACAAATTGCTAAGTCATTTAAAATTCTAGTTTTATTTTGTCATTCATTGAATTAGGTCGTGATTAAAACAAAAGCATTTTTTTTTGTTAGGAACTATCAGCTTTCAAAGGCAGATACGCTCGTTGCTTTTTTATTTCCGATAAAATTTATTTGTGGGCATTATGAATAAATTTCCATTGTTCTGCTGGTGTTTTTGAAACCCGTATGTATGTATCATTCTGAAAAACGGCTGCGTTCACTCCGGCATGAAATTGAAATTGAATAAAACACGAAGGATTCTTCGATTATTTTCATTCAATCTAAAATGGCGTCAAGTGCCCTCTTCGCGATAGAGCCGTCACTCAAAAATGTGAAGTAATATAAAAAGTCAGTTGTGTAGCATTAAAAAATATTGAAATGTCATCTTTTGTTTTACACACAAATTAAAAGGGGCTAAGTTGACAAGGGCCATTGTTGACCCTGATGACCCTATCAGTGGTGTTTAGACATTATTTCATTCAAGTAAATTCATTTTGCATATTATAAGCATTTTTTGAAATACTCAGGTCATCTAATTTCTATACCTCAGCCTTATTCACAATCAAAATTATATTCAACTTCACGGAGAAAACTATGACAACCAAAAAAATACATTTTTCGACTATAAATGACTGAATTTGCCTTAGGAATAGTAGAATTTATTAGGTAATTTATAATAATCTCAATTTTGACATATTTCTTTAAAAATTATTTGAAGTTTCTTAATTATTACAATTATATTTGTAATATCTACAAAAATAGTTAGTAAATTTATTTCTGCTGAAATTATATTATTACAAATTCGGGTCCAAATTGTAATGTTTATTATTTTCGTTTACGAAGCAACTGTGTAGTAGGATAAATTGTAAATATCGCTTTAATATTTCTTCTTTTGAAAAGTATCCTATTTGAATATTTCACGTGTCCTGTTTAATAGTAAATCGCAAATTTTCACTTGATGCTTTCGATGAAATTCGTACCAAGAAATTTGATTTTGTTAATTTTCTTGTTTGTGACATACCTCAAGCTAAGCTGCACATCACAGTTTAGTTCACATTTAATTCGCATCATATTTTGTGGTTCATTGATAATACATTTGGAGTGAGGGAATTATTTTTGTAAAGAATGAATAAAGGATCTGGGCTAATTAGGGCGCAAAAGTGGTTTAGCGGTTTAGTTTTGGAGTAGTAATGAACATTTTTATTCGTATCAACTCAATTCTTCATTCATTATTGAATAAGGGGAAAACATGGATACTGTGATTAGTTTTATAAGTTACAGACCTTGAAAAATCTTATGATCTGCTAGCTTGATGTTCTCTAGTAGATCACATATCTGTTTCATCTGATCTAGGCCTCACAAAATTATCTAATAAACATTATATTTTGCAGTTAATTTGTGGTAAATTTGTAGAGAACGAATCATCAGCTTTTCAACCAACTTGCCATCACCTTAGTAATTCAGTTGCTTCTGCCGTTCTCAAACAATGATAAAGTTTGTATATCATTTTCCTATTAATTAGTACTGATAGTGTAGTTGCAGAACCCATAGATATTGAGAAATCGGCATTAATTAATCTATGAATTCTGCAAAAATAATTTTATCATTGTCTCTATTTGTGACCGACGGAAGCAAAGATGGGAACTGCTAATATGACGGCAAGTTTTCTGGCCTGACATGCATACGTTCCGTACTGATAGGTATGTGGATAAAAACTCTATGTTGTTTGGCTAAGCCTATAATATGTAGGAATCGAAATGTCATTTTTGTATTAGAAATGCCAGATTGGCATACTAAAGACCCAAAAGGTAAAATCATAAACCATACCCTGAGTGACACATATTCGTCGCTTAACAATAGAAGTTCGAGAATTCTCGAGAAAAATAGACTGTTTTAGAGAGTTCATTCATTCATTCATTCAAGTTAGTATATATGTAAATACAGTGAGGAGTTCATAAGCAGTATAAATACTGTGTGTCATAAATAAGCAGTAACTTAAGTGTCTAATAAAAAACTGTCAAATAAATACCCCTTAAATAAATAAAATTAATATTTCGAAAATTCGTTACACTACCGAATAATTACGTTCATGCATCCGGTTTTTATCAAACATTTGCAAATTATGTACAAATGGGAGCTAGCT